CATTTTTTATAATGTTTTAAAAAAACTTAACAACATTAGAAGAAGCACAATGCTAATTTTTATTCTCTTATTTAACCTCTTTCCCCATGCAATCTTCTCATTAAAATACCTATTGGAAATCACTAAATATCTCACATATGTATAAAAACAGAACTACATGTTCAGAACCACCTTCTTCTTAACTCAGATACTTATTCCGTTACAGCTCAGCTTCTAATACACTTGAGGCATCTCTTTCTTGAAACTTCTGTGTGACAGCTGTCTGTTCTCCTGTGAGGTCCTCCTGCTCTGCCTTCAGTACAATGGAGTGACTTTGATCAAAGAACTTGCTCTCAAATCCAAGTTTTTCATGTGGCTTTGGATAATTCACTATTTAATGCACTGGAAATTGTATAGTTAAGAGAATTATTGATGAAAGAGGAGGTTTAGTACCAAGCATGTTATGAAGATTTTTTTTTTTTTGTCTTTTTGAGACAGGGTCTCCCTACAGCCCCAGCTGGTCTGGAACTTACTATGTAGACGAGGCTGACCTTGAGCTCACAGAGATCTGCCTGCCTCTGTCTCCCAAGTGCTGGGATTAAAGGCGTTTTTTTTGTTTTGTTTTGTTTTGAATGTTTGTTGATTTGTTTGTTTGTTTACATGAAAGCAGTTTATTTCCTAACTCATACCTCTACCAGTCCAAAATTGATATACAGTCCGAATGATACATGCCTATAAAAATAAAATCTGAGCATGGCAGGGCCCAGAAGTCATAGCCACCACACCTGGCTATGAAGATGCTTTTTAAATTAGGTTTTTAGAAGAGCATAAATATATTGGCCTTTGTTACAGAATTACAGCGTTGCATCACCCCCTCAGTTCTGGTCTCTCCTTCTCCTCATGATCTTGTGCCCTGCCCTTCTTGCTCCCCCAATAGTCCCTTCTGCTTTCGTGTCACATGTTTTTGATTACTGTCTTTTATGTCTTCCATACTTCCCTTAAAATCTCATCTTCCCCTCTTGTAGTTTCATGAGGTATCACACACACACACACACACACACACACACACACACACACACGCACGCACACACTTGTCTACAAAAATGCTTTTTGACATAAGAAAGGAAAAAACTGGTTGTATTCTCTGGTTTCTGGTCATCACAGAATTGGCTTGCCTTTTCTTCCTTTTTCAAAATCCAGTCCCTTTATTCATACTTATAATTGAGAGGTGTAAATTAAATCCTTACAGAGATAACATCTTTCACTTATCAAATGGTTGACTGGGTAAAATGAAATATCCCATACAATATTGGTTGGAATACAAAATGGTTAGAACTCCTGTTAAAGCCAGGTTCAGCAAGATCTAGCAAAGCTGCAGACACATTTACCCTCCAATAGAATAATCTCAGCACTAGAAAGCTATCACAAAACTACAGAGGCAGAAATATAAGATGACTTATGTATCAGATCTTTTTTTTTTTTTTTTTTTTTTTGAAACAGGGTCTCACTGTGTAGCCCTGACTGGCCTATATAGACCAGGCAGGCCTCCATCTCACAGAGAGCCCCCTGCCTCCACCTCCTGAGTTCAGGGATTAAAGGCATGCATCACCACACCCTGTTCAGTTCATATTCCTAATAGGAAAATATTGAAAACAACCAAAAAGTTTGTGAATGGAAGCATGTTAATAAACTGTGCAACACCTAAACGGCATGATATCACTTTTCAGTAATGACAAAGGGCTGAGGAAGATAGTCATAGGCAGATTTGGAGTAATTTTCATAGCATATATTTTAGGTTAAAATAGGTGAACGATGATAAATGGGGTCATTTCATCATATGTGGAGAATAATCTCACTTGATGGATGAATGCTTTCCCACTAGATCCGAGATTTGCATTGCTTGCTGACTCTCCTAACATAAAATGTTGCATTTTCACATTGATTCCCTTTGCAACAGGCCAAGCTGCCACGGGTTTGAAACCATCGGTAGTCATCATCTCCAATTCAGTTTATGGAGGTGGTATGCCTGTTCTTATCATTGCCAGCAGTGTGTTGAACTATTTGTTAATCTGCTGAAAGGGATTTTGCTGTGGCTTTCTGACCAGGCAGCAGACCACCCTAAGAGCCATTTTAATGATCTGGTTATATTGCAGAGTTGAGGGATCATCGTTCCCACCATCGTTCCATGGTGCTGCCTGTCCAGTGACTGTTATCTTTCCTTGATCTTTTTAGATAAAGGGTTGCAGTTTCTCTTTAAGAAGATCATAAAACTCTGAGAAGATAGCTAGTATTGACGTCACTAAAGAGTTTCTCAAGTGTCTCTACTCTCAGGAGTTGGCAAGGAGATTGGAATCTTCCTTGAACCAATGGGTGAGCAGCAGAAGTATCCCAAGGACTTTCCATACCTCAGTTTTGCAGCTCGATGGCCACAGGCACTTGCACCAGTAAGTTTTCTAAATTTGCATAAAGTTGCAAATGTGAAGAAACTGTGAGCTGATGGAATCTTTGGAGATTATAGGGCAACAAAAGAATTGCTTTCCACTTTATCAGACAAAGATATGGAGAATACTCTCATACAACTCCCAATTAAGAAGAAAGAAATGTCAGCTGCAGATCTTGCAGGGCTGAATAAAGCAGATGGGCTTACTGGAGATGACTTAAAAGGAGTCACTGAAGCAGAAGTAGAGAAATAAACATCCTCCAAGAGTTAGTTGGGGTTCTCAGGGCAAGGCCAACAGTTTTTTTAAAAATTAGGTGCACAATAGTACATAGAATGTGGGGGGGCTATAAATAACTAAATATAAAAATTTATGTATTTT